CTCGTTCTGTGGCCATCCTACTGCAGCCGAATGGCTAACCATCAAAGGCGAGCGGCTCCGTCCTGCCGGCCCCAGCTCCAGGGCTGAAGGCCTCTCCGTGGGGATGACCGGCTCCTCCCTTTGCAGCCGCGGAGGGTCCAGCCCTCTTTAGCGCTTTTATCAAGAAGAACCACTGGACCACTCCCAGGAGAATCCGACTCCCAGGAGAATCATACCTAGTAGGCAAGGCGCCGTGCTCCCGAAGTCCTGCCTGAGACCGGGACCCAGCGGGGTGACCCATGGTCTCCGGGCCAGGCTGCCCTCTGAGCCCCCTCGCTGAAGCAGCTCCCTGCCCTGTCTGCTTTGGTAAGTGACCCCTGTGCTGGCTACTGCCTCTGTGCCTCCTCCAGGCCATCCAGGACCCCTGGCCCTCTGCCCTGGCCAAGGGATGTCAACGTGCCCTCCGCACTTGTGTGCCCCGCCCTGGCCTGCTTCACCACCCCCGCCCTGGTGACCTGCACGTGTGATGGGAACCAGCCCCACCTGGGTGCCGACTCCTGCTGTATCGTGCTGCTCCCCTCTCTGAGCTTTGCACTAGTCAACTTCTAGAACAATCTAAACATAAGAGACCACACCATCATATTTCTATTTTTGTGTGTGCGTGATACCATTTTTCCTTTTAAAAACCAAGGTGATTGACATCCAAGATTTAGAGTGAACACTTTGAACGTGCCGGTCCACTCTCTGCCCTGAAGAACTTCTGCTGAGAAATCTGCTAAAGCCACGGTGGGGGGAGCGTTCCTTTGAAGATTATAAATTATTTTTCTCTTACAGTTTTCAGGTGCTCCTTGTCTTTGCTTTTTGAAAGTTTCATTATACTACATCTTGGAAAAAATCATATTTACCGTGGCATGGTCTGTTCACTTCACGAATTGGATGTCCAAGTCACTTCCCAGATTTGGGGCGCTGTTTGCAAGCATTTGCCTAAATAAACTGACTTGCCCTTCTCCCTCTCTCCTCTTTCTAGAACTGCAATAGGTCTCATCTTCTAGGATTCTTTGTATTTCGACTCTTTTTCCTTTGTTCTCCTCTCACTGGGTTTTTCCAAATTTTCTGTCCTCTAATCCACTTGTTTTATCCTCTGTTTCATCAATTCTACACTGATACTCTTGATTTCTTTTTTCATTTCCATCATTGAATTCTTTAACTCCTGAATGAACTGTATTACTTTTTAGGATTTCTTTATATATTTTTTAAATTTTTTTTTAAACTTTTAAAAATATTTATTTACGCATGCAGAACTGGGTCACAGACCAGAGATGCAGGGGCAGTGGGAGGGTTCATCAGAGACAGAGTGGGGCGCAGGACAGGCAGATGGATGAAGTCACTGCTGACGGAGCAGCGGGGAGACAGGAGAGGTCTGCTGTGCCACGTGGGTCACCTCTGGGTTGGGGATCGAACCAGACTGAAGCAGCTGCAGCTCGCTTGCAGGGCTGCACTTTAACCCACTGGGCCACCAGGGAGGGCCCAACTTTGAGGTTTCTAATTCAATTAAACTTCTAATTTTTCTTTTTCTTTTTTTTTATAATATAATAGTTTATTTTTACATCATTTTGAAACTTCTAATTTGTCTTAAAAGCTGTTTTCCTGATTTCATTGAATTGTCTTTCTGTATTCTTTGGTAGTCCACGAGTTCTTCAAAATGCTGTTTGGAGTTCTTCAACAGGCGAGTCGCCATTGCGTGTCTCTGAGCTCATTTCCCGGAGCATTGTTGTTATGGCTGATGGTGTCCTGTTTCTTGATCCCTCATGCTCCCTGGGGGTTTTCACTGCTGTTCTCATACTTGAAGTGCCGTCACCTCCTCCGGTCTCCACCGGCTGTCTGCAGGTGGGCCGTTTTCTGGCTGTCTTATAGCCGGGCCTCTGGCCGGGCCCAGAACACCTGCCTGGTGCTCTTCCTCCCTCTTGTGGCAGGCTCCAAGCCCGGACTCATCCTACAGCTCACCGTGGCTGCAGGAACCTGTCCTGCTCTCCTGAAGATGGCACTACCGCTCAGGTTTGTGAAGCAGCCCCTCCCAGGTTTGTGAAGCAGCCCCTCCCGTGGACCTGACTGCCATTCTGAGCTCCGGCCCTTTCTCCTGGCGCTCTCCGAGTCGGGAGCGCACAGCAGCCAGCGACTGCGGAGTGAGAGGTGGGCTTCACGCCGGGCACCCTGAGCCCCTGAGCCTGGCAGTCGGCGTCAACTCCAGGGCTCTATGCATAAATGAGGCTCTTTTCTGTAACTTCTGAGCTGTCAAAGCTAATATTAAGCTTTGTCAAAGCTTAACATTGGAGATAGTTTGACAAAGATTAATATTAGAGATATGCTCGTTTGGCAAGATTAATCTGCTAAACTTCTCCTGATCCCATCAGCTCACCACTGCAACTCCCCAGGGACTTGACAGCCAGCCCAGAAATCCACACCTCTAATGACTGGTCTCCCCCCAGCCTGCCCCGTCCCGCCGAACCCCCTGGCCCATGCCATCAGCTGGTGGGAGCTCTGGGCTTTGACGTCTCCACCCCGAGCTCAGCTCCTAGGGCTGGAGGTCCAGGAGCCCCGTCAGCCCCCGGATGCCTGGGCCACCTTGACAGTGGTCTGACCTGCTCATGATGGGGAGACGTGGGCCCGTCAAAGGATGGCAGGTCACGGGGACACTTGGCTGCCTTCATGTGGGTGTTTCATCACACCCAGGAGACACCAGGGCACGTCCAGCCCCATGTGACTGGGTGGGAATCTCCACACCCGGCAGGAACGCAGCCAGACGGGACTGTGTGTGTTACGCCCCCAGGGTGCAGCCCCCAGAGAGAGGTCAGCTGAGATTCAGCAGGTGGGACCACAGGTGAGGGGGTGTTGTGACCCCTGACTTGGAGCAGCAGCAGGAAGGACCTGCAGGGCCCTTCAGGGACAATGGGGACGGGCCAGGTCCCCTGCTGGTGATGGGGCTTTCATCTTGCGGGCCAATGGCCAGTGCATTTCTGATCTGTGCACTTCCCACACCTATTCCACATGCAATAAAATATCGAAGCTGTGCCCTGAGTTCTCTCCACGCCGTTCCCCAATGCACCGTGGGTTCTCTGCACAGCACCGAAGGCGCATCGGTGACCCCCGCCACCACTGTCCTGGTCGAGGGCGTGGAGCCAGGCTGTGCTCTGGCTGGTGTTGGCTGTAGGCTCCAGCCCTGGCATGGCAGGTCCCCCCTCCACAAGTGGCTCCACTAACCACATGAAGGACCCACAGTGTGTGTGGGGGGGCAGCCCCCGAGGATCCTGCGTTGGTAAGAGCAGGGGGGCAAGGAGGGACCCAAGTGAGCGGACAGTCCAGCTGGAGTTTCCTCGCGATGCCCCTTCTCTGCCCTCGCCTGCACGCAGACCCTGCAGGCTGGGCTCTGCAAACACATGCAGCATCCCGGGACCTCAGGATTGGCAGGAATAGGGGGACTCCTGCAAAAAAGGCAGGCTGCGCGCTCGGAAATACCTTGGCAGCTGGGTGTTTCCATCCCCCGCCCAGTCCTGACCGCTGGGGGGCGCCCATGGTCAAGCCTGTGCACCTCAAAGGCTGCTTGGAACCCAAGGCCAGCCAGATCAGTGGCTGAAGCCTCACCTGCTCGGCTTGCTGCATCTCCAGTGGGAGTCCGTCACTAAAGGCCTGGGGGCAGGTGGCGGGTTGCTTGGCCCCTTGCAGTGATGCCTGTTTTAAAACTGAGAATAGTCACCACAACATGAATTTTACTGCAGGTAGAGCTGAATAATGACAAAACAAAAGAGTTGCAGCCATGTGCTTTACAGGAATGCGGGGACGCTTAGCCCAGTTGCATCTCAGCACAAGTGTCGGGAAAGAAGGGCCAGTGTCCCCGCCTGGACCTTGGCTGCGGGCGGAAGCGGCCACGGGCGCTCAGGAGGGCTCAGGTCACGCTCCGCCGGCCCCTCCAGCCCCTCCATGTTCTCCGGGAGCGGAGCCGCCCTGCGGCTGCCCCAGAGCCCTTTGGTTCCGCATCCCACCCCTCCGCCTGCAAGGCCCTCAGGGTGCAGCAAGAGAAGAAACCCTTGGGCTTCCGCTTCATCTTGAGAGGGCAGGTCCGGGGGCCCCTTCTGGGGTGCTGTGACGATGGTTGAGGAGGGGGGGACTCAGGAGCTCTGCGTCTGAGCTCACCCAGTGCAGGTTCTACAGATGCCAACAGGCAGTGGAGCGAGAGTGAGCTCTGGGCCACGCGATGGGCACCAAAGGGGTGCATGATGGTCGGGTGCAGAGGGAGGCTGGCGGGCCGTGCCCCCAGGAGGAGTCACAGCCAGTAGCGGGGCCCAGAGAGCGGGGCCGGGGCGCGGCTCAGGGGCACCGCTGAGGCGGGCGGAGAGGAAGGTCACGCAGGAGGCGTTTAGATAACCAGTGTCAGGCAGTGCCGTGGTGCCAGCCAGCAGGGGAAGTATGCGAGGGGAGGAGGTGCCCGGCACTCCAGACGAGGGCGAAAGTCACTTCTGCTGCCGATGGCGATGGCGGGTGGCTCTGCCGGGGGTGACCGGCGGCCTGGAGGCAGGGCCAGGGGTCAGCTCGGGGGCACATGCCCAGGCAGGAAGGGGGCCTCCCCTGGGGCGCGGGCGGAGGTGATGGGCCGCCCCTCCCGGAGGCCGGGGAGAGCCTGTGTGCAGACTGCTCCCCAAGTTCCAGTCCAGCGGTCTCCTGTCGCCCTCTTCTCTCTGCACCCTCATTTCATGCCCCGGCTGTGGCAGCCCCTTCTCAGCTCCTCTCACCATTGTGGGGGAGCCCCGGCCAGGCAGGACCCCCTCTTTCCCCAAGTCACAAGCCGCGTCATCAGGCCCAGAGGCGTGCTCTCCCCAGGACAACACTTTCTTTCCCCCTAATTAAGAAACTAGGAAGTAACTGGAGAAAAACGTGAAGGGAAGTAGACGAGAAAAGCTGGAGGGTGATTAGACACATAAGGGCAGCCCGCGGGCTCGGTCAGCCGGCGGCTGGCACTGAGCAGCGCCATGGACAGAAGCCAGGCGGGCGGCAGCGTGTGGCCGCTCCCGGCCCTGCTCCTGCTCCTGCTGGCGGTCCCAGGTGAGCGGCTGGACCCGGGGATGGGCCGCTTAGGGCCGGGGGGTGGGGGCCGCCCAGGAACAGGGCAGGTCTGATTCAGGGAGCAGGAAAAGAATTTTTTTTATTATCTTTTACGTGCTAAGCTTGGTGCTGGGAAAATAAGACTTAGTATCATTGATCTGGTTTTGGGGGGACTTTTCCTCAACCCTGACAGGTGGATAGATGGGGAAGAAGCACGCACGGACAGAGACCCAGAGATCATGGGGGTGGGGGCGGGTCCACGCCAGACAGCAGGCACCCACGCGAGAGCAGGACGGCGGGTGCAGGCCTCGTGAACACCCGCACGCAACACCCGCTCCTGCACTGAGCTTGCCCCGGCGTGCGGCTGCCCGCCGGGGTCACGACTCAGACACGGCGGCGCTGGCGTGGGGGCGTGGGGGGCTCAGGGCTGGCTGGCCTGGAGCGAGCCCCTCGGGAGCTCAGAGCAGGGGTGCACAGGCAGAGAGCAGCAGGCTCCCTGGAGGCGACAGCCAAGCCGCTGTGGTTGCGCCAAAGCCCAGCGCTCCTGCCACGCGGCGCCTGCCACCGAGGCGGGCAAGAGGCCTGGGCACACGGGACCCGAGTCGGACACAGGTGCAGAGAGCCCGGGCAGAGACAAAAGGAACCGAGTCTGAGACGAGTGTAAGGGCTTACTCCGTCAAGCCGAGGAGGGAGAACACTCCAGACCGACGGGGCACCTTTGCAAAGGCTCAGGGACATAGGGTGGCATGAGGCTAAGGGTAAAGCAGCCCTGCGTTGTAGTGGGTGCGTGCATGCTGTGCGCGTGAGAGCTTACCGCCGAGCAGCTCGCCCAGGTGTGGGGGTGTCGGCTCCCAGCTGGGTGAGGTGTGGGCTGTGGGGGGCAGGGCACCAGGTGGCTCGCCCACCTGCCCGCTCTGGGGTCCCACGGAGCCGCAGCGTTTCCAAGGCGAGAGGCCATCAATAGGATGGCAAGTGGGCAGAGCCCTGTGCAGGGAGGCACAGACAGGGAGGAATAGCAACTGTCAGGGTTAAGGAACAGGAGGTTGGGGGGTCGGGGACCCTGGGGCAGAGGGCAGGGCACCTGAGCCACCCCAGGGAGGTGCCGGGAGCAGCAGCTGGAGCAGGGCCCAGCCAGGCCTGGGGGGTCGCGGTGGCGGGAGTCAGTGTCGGTTTCTGTTCTGCAGGCGGCCTGCCCATCCAGGGCCCGTGGGGCGTGAGCGGCCCAGTGGGGGGGCTGGTGACCATCAGGTGTCACTACGGCTCGGGGTGGGAGACCTACGTGAAGTGGTGGTGCCGTGGGCAGCACTGGCGCTCCTGCGACATCCTGGTTCGCACCACCGGGTCTGAGGAGAAGGTGAGAAGAGGCCGAGTGACCATCCAGGACGACCAGGGCCAGCGCGCCGTGAACGTAACCATCGAGGAGCTGAGGCCCGAGGACGAGGACATCTACTGGTGTGGGGTCGAGAGGAGGGGGACCGACCTGGGGCACCAGGTGCGCGTGTCCGTGTACTCAGGTAGGAGACGCCATCCTCCAGCCTGACGGGGTCCTGTCACGTGTGCGGGGAGCTGGGAGTAGAAAGCCCCTATCCTGAGGGTGTCAGGGGCGCGGGACCCTCCGCCTCGTCTGCCTCTGGCAGCAGGAGGGAGGAGGACGGTGGACGCCAGACTCCGCCCCGGGAGAAGGAAAGGCAGGACCAGCCCTGACAGGGCGCCTCTGGGCCCGGACAGGCCCTCGGCCACTCTGGCCCCAAGCGCTCGGCCGCCCCGGAAGTCTGGCCTGGGGAGAGGCCGGCCGCGCCCCAACTCTATCTGCAGAGCCCCTGGGCTTGTCTCTGCTTGGGGGGCCAGGGAGGCTCCCGCTCAGCTGAGTCACAGCCGGGCAGGGCGTAGGCCTGTGACTCAGGAGTCCATTTACAGAACAGAGAAGCCTTTGGGGACGAGGCGTATGCAAATAGGCTGCACGTGTGTGGCCGGGAGGCTGCCGGTGTCTGGAATGTTCTAGAAACTGACTGAAGAAACAACAATGGTGGGGAGGGTGATGGAAGACGAATCGGCGCCGGGAGAGTTAGAAGCGGGGGCTCTCCGAGTCAGGCTCATCTTGGTGGGCAAGTGTGGTGAAATCGGGGGGTTCTGGGGGGCAAGAGCACCCCTCAGGGAAGAAGAGGCCATAGGAGACAGGGGAGGCCTGAGAGGCAGCTCCGGGACAGACAGCCTGCTCCAACCGAGACCCCGAGAGAGTCCATGAGTGCAACGGGGCCCCCACTGGGGGTCCTCACACCCAGCAGGGCCAGCCAGGGCGCCCCGCTAAAGCGAATGTCTGTGAAGTGCCAACGTCGCGTGTCACCGGAGGCCCCACACCGCGGGTGATTCTCTGTGAATTCAGTCAAGTTGGTTTAGAGTGAGACACCAAAGGCCATGCGAGGAGACCCCTGGGGCTGACGGCTGTGCTGGGTCGGGGGGCTGTTGCCTGGCCGGGGACCCCGGGGAAAGGTGACCAGTGCGACCCCAACAGTGACCACGGAAGCCACCACGGAAGCCACCACTCTGACAGACACACCTGCACCCACAAGAGCAGACACCCCAGAAGCTAACACCATGGACGCACCCCCCAGTGTGGATCCCGAGCCCCCCGCCACCCTGAGTGCCAACGGCAGCAGCCTGACCGTGCACGACCTCCTCACCCGGTGAGCGACCAGCCCCACACGTCCCGGCTGGGCCAGGCTCCAGGGCCTGCCCCGGGCTCGCCGCCGCTGCTCCTCCAAGAACCAGGAGCCCCGGCCCCCTGTGCCCCGCGAGGCCTTCAGTTGGGCCACTGGAGCGAAGGCTCTGGGCTCCCTGACCCCAGGAAGTGAAAGGAGGTGCAGCAGGCTCACCCCAAGGAGACAAGGCCCCAGAGGAGACGCCCGGGGCTGCTGGAACAAACGACCAGCAGCAGCGGCCCTGGATGAGTCCACTGGGCTGAAATGGGGTGTCTGGCAGGAGGGGGGACCTGCGTGCACTTTCAGCTGTAGGGGTCCCTGTGTGCCTTGTTCATGCTCTCCCCCATCTTCAAAGCCAGCGAGAGCGGGGCACTTGGGGGACACTTGGCGCCCCGTTTCCATCCTGCTCAAGGCCGTGGGAGAGCGGGTGTTGTGCTGAGTCCAGAGAGCAGGATGCGCAATTTGTAGCCACTCTGAGTCCAGAGGAACAGGAGAGGAAATGGGGGTGCAGCCCTCGGGGACTAGGCCCTGTGGCAAGTGGTAGATATTTTTAGGAGGTGAACGCAGCCTGCCCTCCCCTTCTCCCGAAAACTCTTAGTGAAATCATGTCTCACCGCACCCAAGTCTGCGGAGGGAGCAGGGCACTGGCCTGCCTTGGCGGGAGGGGTGAGCACACGCTGATGGGGACCCCCCAGGACCCACAGATCTCGCTAGAGCGCAGGGACACAGGAGCTGGCCCTGGCACTCGCGGGAGGGCCAGCCCAGCGCGAGGAGAACCGGCCGGGCAGCAGGCTGTCAGGAGGGGGCCCTCTGCTTCCAAGAGGAATATTCCCTCTGAGCTTGAAAGAAGGGGGGGCAGGAGAGGGGTCAGCAAGACAGGAGAGGGCAAAGCTGTGGCGTGGTGGGCTGCAGGAGAACTGAGGGGCCAGACACAGACAGGGGACAGGCCAGCCTGCAGGGCCACCCCGGGGCGCAGCCTTTGGACAGCAAGACTGTGGGGAGGGGGCGGGGCGGGGAGCCCTGGCTTCCCTGGTGGGACCTGAGCCCCCCTGTCCTGCGTGGTAGGGGCCCGGGGCTTGGCTCTGGGAGGACGGGCGGGGAGGCGCTGCCAGAAGAGACAGCTCACGCCTGTCCCTTGTCCCCGCACAGGGCCCTGGGCTGCAACATGCACTTCCTGGTCTTGACCTTGGTGAAGGTGCCCCTGCTTGGGGGCCTGCTGTGCACCGTGATGTGGCTGAGCAGGAGTCGGGGGGACCCCAAGCGGGAGTGAAGGCAGCCCGAGCAGGAGACCCCAGCTCCACGCCCTCTGCGCTGGGCCAGGCTCAGACCGGACCTGCTACTGGGCGCGGGAAGTGACTGTTTCCAAAAGGAGAGACAAGGGGCCCTCTGCGCGGGGACCCCCTCCTGCAGGCGGGCCCTCCCCGTCCGGCAGCCTCCGCGCAGGACCAGAGGCGGGAGGAGGCCGCTGCCCGCACGGGGTCCGCAGGCGCCTCTGGCCTGTTCTCGGGGCTGGAAGCACAGCAGGACCTGTCCAGCTCGCTCTTCGCTCTTCGAGGGCTGCTCTCGGGCAGCAGCGCCTGGCCCCACCACCTGGCGCCACCTGTGTGAACAGGAGCCACCCACGGGGCCTGAGCCCCAAGCCCGGCCAGTGGGTCTGCGGCCACAGGGGGCGAGGCCACCCGGGGCGAGGCCACCCGGGGCGAGGCCACCCAGGGCGAGGCGCTGGCGGGCGACCGAAGCCGGTGACGTGAGCGGCGGTCTCTGCAGACCGCGCTCCCCGCCAGGAGCTTCAGCCAGGTCCACGTCTCTTTGCCTCTCACCTGTTTGCAGCCAGTAAAGTTGAATTCCTTTGTTCTCATCTCTGGTCCCCAAAACTTGTCTAACCTTGTTCCTTTGTTTGTTTGTAAGATTTATTTACTTATTTACTTATGAGTACTTGGACTGGGGTACAGGCCAGAGGTGGGAGGGCCATGAGAAGATTCACCAAAGAATAGAACAGAACAGGGGATCTACTGAAACCCACTGCTGAGGGGAGCAGCGGGGAGACAGGAGGGGTCTGCTGCGCCCTGGGGTCACTCCCTGGCCGGGCATCAAGCTCTGCTGAGGGGCTGTGACAGCTTCACAGTGCTGAGACTTAACCCCTGCATCGCGAGGGCCCACCTCACTCCTTTCTTAATCAGGGGGGAAGATTTGAGTTTTTCTCCCACCTCTTTGCCAGTCAATTAACAATACAGCTCTTCCCTCCCCAGAAGCCCTGGGCCGGGCTTCCCTGGCGGTCTAGGGGTGAAGTCTCAACGCTGTCACCGCCAGGGAGTGACCCCAGGGCGCAGCAGACCTCTCCGATCTCCCCGCCGCTCCCCTCAGCAGTGGGTTTCAGTCCATCTGCCTGTTCTGTTCCCCGCTCTCTCACCCCGCACCTCTGGCCTGTACCCCAGCTCATGTCTGCATAAATACATCTTTAAAAAAGAAAAGAACCTGCCACGCACAGGTCTGCAGCCAGCGCCTTCCTCAAGGGGCACGGCCCCGGCCCCTGGCACAGATGGGGCTCGCAGCAGCTCCTGCCCCTCGCCCCGCAGGCCATCTGCGCCCGTGGAAGGTCACTTCCCCGCCTGCTGGGGCACCATCTGCCCAGGCAGGGGTACGGCGCTCGGAGGCCCCTGTGCTTTGCTCGGCCCCGGCCAGCGCCCACGACCTGTGGGCTTCCGGGCTTGTCTCGTTTGCTCCCCGTGTTTCAGTGGTGCGCGGGGGATTTCACTGGTGGCCTCTCCTAAAAGAAGGGGCGCTCAAAAGCGGGGCCCGCGACCCCAGGTCCCTGCCCTGGACCATCAGAGTGTTAAAATGTTCCAGGGCTTCCCCAGGACGCCATCAAAGCACAGACACTAGAGAGAAAGAAATTAAACTGCCCTTTGGCAGAGGACAGGAGTGTTTATGGGAAGAGCCCAGAGTCTGCAATTCTTGACTGAGCATTAGAATCACTTCCTCGGCAGCAGCAGGAAACCCGGATGTAGGTTTTCTCTGTCACAGAACGCTTTCTCCTCCATCCTCTCCGGAGCCCAGCGTTGGGGAGCTCAGCCGGGGGCGCCGCCCCTCCTGGGTCTCCCTGCCGCCCGCCCGAGGCAGCTGGGCCACCCGCGCCATCAGCCCAACTTGGGTTAGGAGCAGCCTCGGCACAAGAGCCGCCCTCGGGCCCCCGTGGTCTGCGCCGCTGGACGGCCAGGCCTGACTCTGTGGCTTTTCCTGGGCCCCTGATTCCGGGGTCTGAGACCACTCGCCCCCCAGAAATTGAGGCTGGAACGCGAGTCCTCCCCCCACTCCCTTTTCTGGCCAGCATGCCCCCGCCCCTCCGCCCCTTCCTCCAGCCCACCAGGCCGCTCCCATCTGGGGCCTCCACTGCAGAGCAGAGCTGTGTGCAGGAGCTACCCGCTCTCCTGGCTCCCCAATACCTGAATTTTTATGCACACAAGAACTGGGTGCAGGCCAGAAGTACAGTGGGTGAAAGGACTCCCGAGGGACAGAGTGGGGAGCAGAACAGGCAAAATGACTGCAATTCACTGCTGAGGGGACACTGGGGAGACAGGAGAGGCCTGCTGCGCCCTGTGGGTCCCTCCCCGGCCGGGGATCACACTCAGGCTGCAGAGGCTGGAGACAGCGTCTGTGCTTTGACTTGTCACACCACCAAGGAGGCCTCACATTGGAATAATATTAAGTGGCCCAGAGGCCCAGAGCGGGGCAGGGGTGTAGACAGAGGCCCGGCTGACAACACAGGGCTCCTCCCAGAACACTGTCCTGGCCTAGTAGATGCTCCCTGGCCTCCACCCTGGGAGACAGTGGACCCCTTCTCCGGCTGGGGCTGTCCGTGGGTGCCAGAGCCGTGGTCCCGCCAGCAGAATCCAGCTGTGCTGCGTCCGGCTCCCGCATCACAGGCCACAGGCCAGCTAGTCAGTGCCTCTCATGGCCACTCAGGCATGAGAAGCTGCTGTTGACAGAAAATGGGGGCGTGGCCCCCCACCCCCAGTCACTGTGCCGAGGCCAGCGTAACCCAGCAGCCTGGGAAGAAGGGCTCCTCCCACGCGCACAGGAGCCGGGAGGGACGCTGGCGGGCAGGGGCTGGGCAGGGGCAGGGAGTAGGTGGGAGTGGCTCGTCTGCACCCCCATTTCTACGTCAGTGCACAGCATGCCACCCCAAAGCCATGCCCACTCGATGGCCGGCTCACACAGAGCCACGGAGGCCTCCCCGGGGGGCGAGGCTGGCCCTGGCGCCGGGGCAGGAAATGCCACTCCAGGATTGTCTCCTGCCTTCTCTGCCGGCTGCAACCGTGGAGCAGCCGGGGCTGCACAGGCCAGAAGGAGCGTTCTCTGTTAGCTCATCGTGGCCTCTCAGCCGGCCCTGGGCCCTTTGGTCAGCGAGGACGGCCCCAGGACAGATGGGTTCTCGGAAATCACCGCTTTGCCTGGCTCGGCCTCTCCGGAATCTGTTTGAAAGCTGTTTTTCCATCTTGAACCTATTTTGGGGTCATTTACAGAAAATATCCTCATGGAGGTCTCTTTTTAGTCCTTCATGTTGGTAGAGTATTTTCTTTCCGGTTTTGTGACGCACTGAATAACTCACTTCGAGATCAGAGGAACGACGTTTGTCAAAAGCAGGCCGATTTAATGCGGACAGGTAGCGCCCGCTTGCTGGCCGAATGACCAAGGGTTTGAGCGAAAAGGTAGCAAACCCTCGGCTGACAGCAGGCCCGCTGCAAGCCCCGGCCTTTCCGAGCACCTGTCTGGAAGGCCGGTGTCGAGGCAACCGAGGGACCGAGGGACCCGCGAAGGGCTGCACCTTCTAGGAGGCTCCGGCCACCTGTCCACCGGCTCACTGTCTCCTCCGCCGACTGCCAGCTCCGTGGGGGCCCCTGTTCTCTGGATGCTGAGCTGGAGCTGACCATCAAGCCCCGTCTGACACGCACGTGTCCCCGTCAGCAAGAGGTGCCACAGCCGGCTGCTGAGGGGACTCTGAAGAACGACACCAGGGCGCTCAGGAAATGGCTGGCATATTGCACAACGCCTTCCAGCCCAGGCCTGCAGTTTCAATTCCCACAGCCACAAAAGTTTCTGTGCGAGCCCATGTGGGGAAGGGTGCGAGTGGCCCAGAAAGTTGGTGGGGAGCCAGCCGCAAGGGCAGTTGAGCGTTTTCGGGGTCTTTGGCTTAAAGGCTGCTAGTTGAAATGTCTGTTGTCCCTGGTGTGCCCTGAATCTCCAGCCACGTGAGACAGGATCCCAGGAACCGGACGGGGTGCCCCGTGGACTGCGCCTGCATCGTCAATGCGCCCGCCCGAGACCCAAGGACCCAAGGCGACAAGATGGGAAAGGAGAAACCGTGTTGGGGCCACAGAGCAACCCCGTGGGAAAACCAGCCTTGACCCCTGTTGGGTCAGGGATACTGTGCATTTTGTTCTAGCAGCCTGTGGTCAAAGACTCAGCTCCCGATCCTGGCCCAGCAGGCAGGTTTGGGGGACTGGGGTATGGGGGGGCTGGATAAGGCCTGGGCACGAGGCCATCAAACTGACCAGGAGACCAGAAAAGCGGCCCAGCTACAGGAGTGGGCGCAGAGGGACAGCAGGACATGCCTCAGTGTCAAAGGCCAGCCAGGGCCACACCCCCAGCAGGTAGCAGGGGCGAGCGGGTACCCAAGTTAGATCCCGGGGAGACGGTGTGAAGGAGCCTCAAATCGCTCACCACAGACCTCCCCCCTGGCCCACTGCTTTTCCCAGCAGGGCATTTCTATCAATCTGTGGTCCCCAGGAAAAGGGGAAGTTCCAGGTTCCCTGCCCACCCCCCCAGGAGGGTGGAGCCTTGCAGAGAAGCGAAGGATCTAGAGAAGAAGGAAGCAGGATGGAGAGCCAGGGGACCAGAGGAAGCCGCAGGAAGCACGTGATGAAGAAACTGTGCTTGTTTCTTGGCCCTGTGCTGGTTGAAACAGACGTGGGCAAGAGCCCCGTGGGAGGTGACCATGGCAGCGTTTACCTTGACTTTGATGGTGCTCTTTTCCTCCCAGACTAGTCTGACCCTGTCTGACCCTTTTCTGCGGGTCCCGGCCAGAACGTGCTTTAGGCTCGTGGCCGCTTTCAGGCCTTGCCCTGGGCCAACCCCTTTTGGGTGGACTTTTGCCCACGAGGGGACGGGTCACTTCAAGTATCTGACTTAGAAACTATATTCTTTGTCTTTTCTGTGCTTCACACTCACTGTATGAAAGTTCCTTTCCATTAAAGCTCTTATGTCTTATATTGATGCAGCGGATGGCGAACCTGTTTAGAGCAGGCAGATTTAGGGGTTCAGGGGTGCCACTCTTTCCCTG